CCCCCAGGCCGGGGCAGACCCAGAAGGCATAGCTGCATCAGCAAGCAGTGTCTTGCTCCTCACGGCTCAGCTGAGTGGTCTTGGCAACAATTGTGTGGCTGCTGGGCTCGGGGAGGGCAGGTCTCTGTGTAGTCCCACAGCCGATGAGGTGGTGAGCACCCCGGGAGGGTTGGCCCCCTGGTGGAGCAGGGCAGCGAGCATCGGTGGGACCCTCCCAGCCCTCTCTGCCCACTTCCTCACACCTGTGCAGAGGGCAGCTGCGGCCTTGGCCCTGTGATGCAAGGCACCCCTGGCCCCTGGTCACCCTGGTCCCACTATATGGGGGGGTTCCTGAGCTGGGCAAGAACAAGACCATGAGGACCAAGGTAGTTATAGTGGGCTGTAACCCTAGAAAGAGGCCCTGGAGTGGGCAGGACCTGGAGCCCACCAAGCCATGCTGCGTTGCAGGCGCCTGGAGCAGGACTACCGAGGAAGGCTGAGCCTCCTGCGGGCAGAGGTAGAGGCAGAGCGGGAGCTGATCTGGGAGCAGGCCTGTAGGCAGAGTGCCATACTGGAGCAGGACCTGGACCACCTGCGGGCTGAGGAGGCCGGCCTGCGCCACAGGCTGGGACTGGCAGCAAAGGTAGGTGGCACACTGGGCAGACAGAAACTTGGCACCCTTCCTTCTCCCACTGGCTCTGACCTGTGCCCTGGGCTGGGCATGTGTCCTGTGCCTGGCTGCATGAGGCATCCAGGCTGCAAGGATAGTCAAGGACAGAGATGCTCACCTGTGCCTGGTCCCTGCTCCTCCCACCCCTTCTTCTCCTAATTTGGTCCCACACTGACTTCAGCATTTGCAGAATGTAACTAAAACCACCAATCTCACTCTCTGTGGGGCTTTTTTTTTTTTTCTTTTTGCAGTACTGGGGATGAACCCAGGGTCTCTTTACACTGAGCTACATCTCCAGCCTTTTTAATTTTTTTATTTTGAGATGGGGTCTTACTAAGTTGCCCAGGCTGAGCTGGAACTTAGGGTCCTCCTGCCTAGGCCTCCTAGAGTGCTGAGATCACAGGTGTGCACCACCCACCAGGCACTGTCTCATCCCAGTTCATTCTCCAGTGTCTGAAGATGCCACCTCCTGCCTGTTGGTGCAATTTTAAATCCATCTTTTGAGAACAGCTCAGAAGTGCTACATTAGCAGCCCTTTCTTATATTTTCACTTGTGAGCTTTTTGAGTCTAGGTCTGTCCCTCGAAGGCTATGAGCCACCTGCCCAATTGCCTTCCAGGGCAGAGGCCACGACACCTAGGCACCTGCCTCCCACAGAGCCAAGTGATGAGGACACCTGCCCACCTCCTTGTCTTCCTGAGCCTTGTCAGTACCACGTGTCTCGTAGGAAAACAGCCGGTTACAGCAGGAGATCCTGGAGGTGGTGAGAAAGCTTTCAGATTCAGAGAAGCTGGTCCTGAAACTGCAGGGTGACCTGGAGTTCGTGCTGAGAGAAAAGGCAAGGCCCCTATGCAGAGCCCTGGGTTGGGGGAGCATCAGAGTCATGAGAAAAGACACACAGGTGACTGAATTTAGGGTTTCTCTACTGAAATCCTTGGACCGGAGAGAAAATCAGCATGGTGGCCTTGCCTCTGTGTTAGGGCTTCGTGACCATGGCTGCTACTTCACCCTACACAGGCGAGGGCCTGTGTGTCTGCTGAGCCACAGAGACCCTTCCCAGGGTGATGGTGGGAAGGCCCCACCTGCCCATCCTGTGGAGAAGGGGATACCTGAAGGCCAGGGGAGGGCGCCACAGGGTTGTGTCTGCTGCTGCCAGCCATTGGGAGGAAGCCATGTTCTCAGCCAGGGCTGGAGAGGCCACCGCGCCCACCCTTCCACCATTGCCTGTCCTCGCTTTCCATGTGCTTGTGGTGCTTGGCAGACCCGAGGCCTCCACATGCTAGCGTGTCTAACTTTTGACTTCCAGCTGGAGCCACAGGGCGTGGAGCTCCAGGCCCAGGAGGAGCGGTCTGCAGCTGTCTTGAAGGAATACAAGCTCAAGTGCCGGGTAAGTGGCCCAAGCAGCCCTGGAGCCCCCAACCCACCCCAGTGACGGGCAGCATAGTAGGCTGTTGGGGTTGCCTGGCTCACACCATCGTGGTGTTGTGAGGCCTCTTCCCTTTCCCTCCTGGGTGAGCAGACTCAGAGTTCCTGCAGGATGGTTCAGTGAGGGAAGCAAGAGAATTTGTTCTAGCTAGAGCTGATGACCAAGGCTGTGTCCAGCCTCAGAAGGGTTGCTGACTCAAACTGCATGAGGATCCCTGGCTCTGTATCCAGGATAAGTCCTCTTAAAAACATTTCAGTACAGGAGGAAAACTAAACAAGCAAACCAGTGTTGAGTTGGGCTGGTTATTAACAATACAGAGAAATGTTTTGATTTATAAAGTAATTTATCAGCTGGGCATGGTGGCGCATGCCTGTAATCTCAGCACTTGGGAGGCTGAGGCAGGAGGATCGCTGTTAGTTCGAGACCAACCTGGACTACATAGTGAGTTCCAGGTCAATCTCAACTACATAGTAAGAACCTGTCTCAAAAAAAACAAACAAACAAATAAAGTAATTTATCACACAGTCCTTATTAGTATTAGTCACTCCTGGTTAGGATTTCATTTACTAAAATTTAATTTATATAAAACTCACAAGAAACCTTTTTTTGTAAAGAGTATGTGGTTAAAGATAAGCACCATCAAAAACCTCCACCCTTGAATCTGGGCATTGTGGTTTGCACCTATAGTTCCAGCTACGTGGCAAACTGAGGCAGGAACATCCCTTGAGCCCAGGACTGGATGCCAACCTAGCAGCATAGCAGGACCTCATCTCCAAAACTAAAGCTCCATGGCCGGGGATGTAGCTCAGTGGCACTGAGCCTGCCCAGCAAGTGCAAGGTCCTGAGTTAGATGCCTGGTACTATAAATCAATCAGTCAATCAATCAGTCTCTGCCTTGGCCCATCTGCCATCTGACATCCTTGGCATTAAGAAGGTTGTGTTCGCAGAAGCTGGAATGGTAGAAGTGATAGAAACTGGAAAGAGTCGCAGGCCCAGGGGGACTGGCGAAGGTTGTCATGCTAATGACTTACTAGAATCCTGCATAGCTTTGGTAGAAATGTGGAATGTTTCTAGACATGAAATCCTACGTAGGCAACATCGCCAAATGACCAAGGAGAAGTAATACACATTTAAAAGCCCAGACAAAGGGCTAGAGGTGTAGCTCATTAGTAGAGTCTATACATAACATATGTGAGCCCAGGGTTCAAGCTTCAGCACACTCACACACAAACAGTAAATGCAAAAAATATCTTTATAAGAAGCCCCACTGACAAAAATAAGAAACATCTAAGGAGGAAGTTGCTATTCACTCATTTATTTTTCCTGCAAATTTGCTGTAGTAATAATGATGACTAGTACTTCCAAGCCGAGCACCCTGGTCTGTACCTATCTGGAGGCATGGTTAGGGTCTGTGGTGTTCGTAGTCTGTGTGGAGATGGGGTGGATGGCTGGTGTAGTTGCATTGAATGTTTTCTACTGTATGTTGCCCATCAGGTTTTACCCCAAATCATCTCATGTTGAAAATCCAGTTATTTCTGGGGATATATTATGGTCCCTGTTAAGGGCATTAATAGTTATAAAATAATTTAGAAATTGAGCAGATATTGTGGACAGAATATCCATCCTCAAAGCTGACCCTGGGCCTGGGTGCCACATCCTCTCCCTCTGCACTGGTTCGGCCTTGTGAGGGCCCAGGCGGCCCATGTGTCACTCTCCCTGTAGACTCAGCTGGTGTGCTGGGGGCAGGTTGGGGCAGCAGGGTGGCAGCTGGAGCCTGGCCATAGGTTGGTTTCGCCTTCCCTCGAACTCGCTGAGAAGACTCAGAGCCTGGAACTGTGTGGGTTTCCCAAACAAATGTCAACTCTTTCAACCTGACTCTGCTATTTTTGATTCTTGAAACTTTATTGTTTAGACATCAACAGAGATATTTTACATTTTAGCGCAAACTTACTTATTTTAGAAACTTACCCTTCCCGTATTTGGGGAATATTTTTGGTTGTTTCCCGCTAACATTTAGACCATTTTTAAAACCTTTTGTTTAAAAGTAGTCTCAAGCTTAAAGCTACAAACATAAAGTTAGTACAGTGAACACCTGCACACCTTGTGCTCAGGCTGCCCACTTACCGTACTGCTTGCACACTTGGGTGATATGTCACATTTCAGCCCTGAGCTCTGGACGGTGCACTTCCTGGAGGAGGCCCCAGTCCCCTGCCGTGCTGAGGAGGGGGCAGTCTGTACAGCCAAGTAGATTGTTAAATGTTTGGAAATTTTGTCAGCTGCTTGGTAAAACTTTGGTGGCTTTAAATTGGCTATGGTGAGAGAATTCACACCATAGAAATGTGCGAAAGCTACAAAGTGGGCAGTGTTTCCTGGAGAGGAGCCCCCAGCACCCTGCTAATCGTTACAGGTGGAGCCCAGTGGAGGACAGAGTCCCATGGATCACTTCTACCTGCTGTCCTCCTGGGGTGTCTTCTCTCCAAGACAGGAGGTGCCCAGAACCTGGTAGCCTTTAGCTGTCCTGTCCCTCTGAAACATTCCCACAGCCTGCCTTTTCTTTTAGGACATTGTTTATTTTGAAGACTACAGACCCTCCTCCGCCTTCCTGCTTTTTCATAGAAACTCTATCATTTTGTGGTGTGTGTGTGTGTGTGTGTGTGTGTGTGTGTGTGTGTGTGTGTTTTCCTATTTGTTTTTCCACCTGGGGATTATTTAGGGCCTCAAACTAAGCTATATCCCCAGCCCTTTTTATTTTTATTTTTTTATTTTCAGACAGAGTCTTGCTAAATTGCCCATGCTGCATTCCTGCCTTACCCTTCCAGAGTACTGGGATTACGGGCATGTGCTAACACATCCAGCTTTAAAATTGTATAATCGACACATAATTAAACACTCTTGTGGGCACAGCGTGATAATTCAGCACATGTTTACAGTGTGGGAAGATCAAATCAGGGTAATTAGCATTTCCACTCCCTCAAACATTTACCATTTCTTTGTCCTCTCTTTGGTTGTTTTGAGATACCTGTAGTAGGCTGCTGTAAACTGTGGTCACTGGTGACTTCCTTTAATTCAGCAGAGGCTGGACTTCCTCCACTGGCCACTGGGAGGGCAGGTTGTATCCACCAGCCCTCATCTGTGTTGTTGATCACCTGGTGTTGCTGGTTCCACAACATGTAATGATTGTGTTTTTCTCTTTGCACTGATGAACTGTCAGCAGGGGGACACTTTGAGGCCATGTAAGTTTCCTGCTCATCAACAAAATCTTTGTGATTTAGCATCATTGATGATTATTCCCCAGTTCAGTCTTTACCATGATGGCTGGAAAATGTTTTTCCAAATGGTTTGGAAAAACCAAACTGGTTTTTCCAGTGCTGGTGCCCCATCTGTAGTACTGTTAACCTTCTGTTCTCCGTCATTGGAGTGGACCCATGAATTCCTATTTTTCCCCCTAAAGGTTTAAATTTTATTTGTGTGCTTAGTGATGTTGGTACCCAGATTGTGCAGGATTTAGCAGTGAGTGTATCCCAGCTGGCTTCTATGTCCTGGGACATTCCTATCATTTGCTGCTCTCTCTGGGCAGGTGGTGCTAGCCTTCCTGTCACCAGGTGCCCCAGGCCTAGCCTATGCTTGTCTGGAATCCACTGTTTCTCCAAAGAGCCCTGGTGCCTTCTACAGGGAAGTGCAGGTGCTTAACTGATCTTCACTGCTTCTGGGTCAAGGTCAACCTGTGTAGTCTTCAGGTCCAGAAGTGGTCACACTGTGCCTTCCCTATGTGTCCCCATCCTTCCAAGGTCACTTGGTTTTAAACAGATCCCCTGTTGTTCAGGTGTGGATGTTTCCACATCTCCCTCTCACCATTTCATCTGCGTTCATGCGATGCAGGGCACCAGAAAGTCAGTAATGACTGTGCTGCTTAGCCGTGATGTGGGAGTCCAGTGTCACCACCTGCTTGTCCCACGGGGATGCTCCCTCCAAGCCAGCTGGTAGCTGTAGCCCTGGAGGAGATGTCTCCTTTGCCCCCAGGACCTACAGGACCAGAACGATGAGCTGCAGGCCGAGCTGGAGAGCCTGCGGGTGCAGCTACCCCAGAGTCGGAGTCGGAGTTGGCAACGCCCTGCTGGGCATGCAGGACACCGTGCAGCAGGTAGGAGTCCACCAGGTGAGGGTAGGGATGGGCTCACACAGGTAGCCTAAGGCTGGTCGTTCCCTCAGCAGCGGAACTAGGATGGTAGAGTAGAGGAGGGTTTATAGAAGGAAGGTCACAGTGACTGTGGGGGAAACATCTGCCTGCCGTGGTCTCCAGGGTGGGACAGTGTCCACCCTGGACATGAAAGCGGTCACTTAAGGAAGAGAAACAATGTCCTTGTTCCCTGAGGGAGTCCCTTGCCTATCTGCAGAGTCCACACCTCAGTCTCTCCTTTCAGCTAAGGAGTCAGGACCAACGCTGAGGGCCATGGTGCAGTGTAATCGGCTCCTCTGGAGACCTGGTTGAGGGCCTTGGGGTTTGCTGTGGTCCCCTTGCGGATAGGTGCCCTGGCTGTCTCAGCCTTCCTTCTGGCTCTGTGGGGTGGCCACTGCGGAGACCCAGACCCCCATCCCTGTCCTCTACTGCCAGTAATGGCTGCCCTGACTCTCTGAGAACCCTGTGCTCTGCTGGTAATTGAGAGCAGTTGGGGTTTCCACATTGCTCTGAAGCTGCTTACTTAATAAAACAAAAAGAAATTGTGTCCCAGGATGGGACCCAAGGGAATTAGTGGGGTCCGTGTGCGGGGGCCCTAAGGCAGCTTCCTCCTGCCACAAGCTCCCCAGTAAGCTCAGGAAGTGAGGTTGTCCTGTTAGCCCAGAGAGGACAGGGCTGGTGCATGGTCGCTGAAGATCCTACTGCATGTGACCTGCAGCCAGGAGCACAGCTTGGTCATAGGGGCAGGTGGCAGCAAACCCAAGGTTGGGTGCAGACTCCCTGGGCTCTGCCAGTCGAGTTCTGGCCTGCTAGTGTCCCCACCAGGGTAGAGTGGCAGTGTGTGGTATTGAAATAATAATACAGAATGCCAGAAAATACAAAGGCTCCTTAGTCAGGTTCTGCGTGTGCATATGGAGAGTGCCCATAGGCTGCTGAGCACAGCAGCCCATTTCCTCTGCACCTGGCCAGATTCCGGGTGCAGTGAGTGTCCAGCTTACAGCAAACTTTGAGACTTAGGTCACTGGTGGATCTTGTGGGGAGCCTCCCAGTTCTGTCAGTTCTGGTAAAGACTGGAGCTGCTGTTTCTGGGGGCACAGCTACCCAGATCCTGCACACGGACTGGTGCCTCATCATCAGGCAGCAAAGACAGTTGCCATGCAGACCTGACTAGAGGGCCTGGCGGAGCCTTGGTTGTCCTCCACATGACAGAAGCAAGGCATCCTCTTGTTTGCAGGTGTGTTCGTGGACAACTCCAGTCCAGTGAGCCTAGAAACGGAGATCATGGTGGAGCAGATGCGGGAGCACTGCCAGGAACTCAGGACCCAGCTGGAGGCCAAGGTCAGGGTCCAGTGCCACTAGCTACACACCAGGCCCCTTTCTCGGGAAAGAGGAGAGAAGTGATGGTCATGGGGAGGGAGCAGGTTGAGCCCTGGGTAACCTGTGCCTAAGTCCCAGCCTGCTCGACTGCTGTCAGGAATTAGGGCAGCCGCTTTGCCTGGAGCCTGAGTGCCTTGGTGGGGACTTCAGCTTCATGGCCAGAGCCTCCTAGACCAATGTGTCTCCCGCTCGGCAGCTGGGCTCCCTAGGGGTTAAGGGGCAGTATCTATGGCCTGCTGTCTGTCCAGCTCCTTGGCAGATGTCAGATGGGCTGACAGGAACCCTGATGGTTTGCCCACCTATGCCCGGATCCAGTGCTCCCCCACCCATCGGCCCACTGGACCAATGAAGGCCCTTGCCTCACAGTTGTCACTTGCTCTGCCCTCCTCCTGGCACCTGGCCTTCCAGCCCTACCGAGGGGTCATTGTGAAGTCACACTGGGTCCCCAGAGCATAGATGTCATTCATGTGACTTTCTGTCCCACAGATGTGTCCTGTGAATGCTGCTCATTTCTGCATTGTCCTGCCAGCCTGCCGCTTTCAGGACCTCTTGGTTAGCACTGCTCTTATTTCTCTTAGGTGAATTCCTATGAGCGGGAAATCGAGGCCATGAAGAACAACTTTGAGAAGGAGAGGTTGGAGCTACAGCATGCGCAGCGGCAGGAGGTCGCAGTGCTGGAGGCACAGAGAGCAGACCTGGAGGTGCTGTGTGCCAAGTCACAGGAAGTCATCCTGGGCCTGCAGGAGCAGCTACGGGACTCAGCAGGTGGCCCTGAGCTCTCTCGGGCTGGCCTAACCTCCTGCTGTGCACCAGTGCTCTGTGACCTGGCCCAGCGGCTGGACGAGCACGTGCGGTGGCAGCACCAGGGCGAGCTGCGGCAGATCAGGTCTGCACTCAGCGGGGTGGGCCAGGGTTTCCTACTGGGAACCCACGGTGGCACCTGCTTCCAGCGGGGATGAGATAAAGGAACAGTTGTCTCCTAGAGTTGTTGTGCTGCATCAGAAACGTGCATGAAACAGTGAGGATGACAGCAGCTTGCTGTGACACATTTAAACTCTGCTGCACCAGGCGCGTGTCCTGGCTGCCTTCATTTACTGCATTCAGTTTCCAGATCATGGCAGATGCAAGTAGGGAGATGAGAATAAGCCAGAAGCCCCCAAAGGGGAAAGACAGTTAACTTGGGTTAGTGAGGTTCCTGAAAAGGCTGAAACATTTGTACCAACCACGAAAAAGGGTTGTTTGGAAAACTAGAATATTCCTTTTGTTTGCTTTTTCATTTTTGGAGACAGGGTCTTGCTGTGCATTTCAGGCTGGTTTTGAACCCACTGTGTAGCCCCTAGACTTCTGAACTGCCTGGAACCCATTCCAACCTCAGGGTCAGATCCCACAGGACGCTGAGGAGTGTCCCAGGATGGACAAAGGCCTTAAGCTCAAGGACATGAGGTTGGATGCAGCCAGGCAGAGAGTGAAAACCAGGCAGGAGAGCGAGTATATAACCCGTGGTGTCTCCCCAGGCAGGAGGCAGCAGAGGAGCTAAGCCGGACACTGTCCCGGCTGGAAGCCCAGCATGACATACACTGCAAGAGCCTTGTGCTACGGCATCGGCGTGAGAAGGACCGGCTGCAGCAGGCACACCTGCAGCGGGAGGAAGAGGTGCTCGCGCACTGCCAGGAGCAGCAGCAGAGGCTGCAGGCAGCCCTGGGTGAGGAGCAGGCGGAGATGTGCAGGTCCTTTGCCTTGGAGAGGAAGAGACTGGAGCGTGCCCACCGCGAGCAGGTGGGGGGCCTGGTCCAAGAAGCAGAAGCGCTGAGGGCCCTGCTGCGAGGCGGAGCCATAGCGACCACGGAAAAGGAGCAGCAAGAGACACCCAGCTCCGTGTCCCCGTGCCTGGGCACCCATGGGGGAACGCAGGAGCCAGTGGGAGATGGGCCTGGCCAGGCCTGCTGTATGGACACTGTGTCCAGAGGGCCCCTGGAGAGCCTCGACCACGAACAGAGCTGCTTGGGTCTGTTGGATGCAGAGGAAGCAGCTTCTGTCTCTTGTGAGAAGAGGCCACACATGCAGCCACCTGGGCAGAATGAGGGGACCGACCCTGAGGAGCCACCACCTTCTGCAAGGGCCACAGTGAGCCTGAGCTGGCCTGATGTCCAGGAGCCCTCAGGGGATGCAGGGGAAGATGGTATCCTGCAGATCACGCTCCAGCACCACCCAGGGTCCCTGCCACCCCACCCTGAGTTCCCACACCCAGCAGGAGAAACTGAGGCAGACATGGTGGAGAAAGAGAAGAATGACATGAAAATCAAACTTTTACAGCTGGAAGATATTGTTCGGGCTCTCGAGAGAGAAGCAGATTTGAGAGAGAATGACAGGTGTGGGCTTCCGTTCTTTTTTTTCTTTTTTTTTTTCCAGTACTGGAGACTGATCCCAGGGCCTTCACACTGAGTTATTTTCCTGGTCCTTGAGACAGGGTCTTGCTAAATCACTAAGTTGCCACTGCTGGGCTCAAACCTGCAATCTTGTCTCAGCCTCCCAGAATACTGGGAGTACAGGCATGTGCCAGCACACCAGTCTTGGTCTCCCAGTCTTGAATGCAGAACTGGACCCTCCAGGCTCTAGTGCTAGTGACTGCCACATGCTCCTTCCCCACCAACTGTCTCAGGAAGCCGTGCTGGCCACAGAGCTCACTGTGCAGGCACCACAAGCCTGGCCCAACCCTCTGTCCCCACCTCAGGTCTTACAAGTACAGGGCATGGGGGGCCAACAGTGGTCCTGAACTGGCTATATTCCTCTTCCTCCGGACTCTGAGAGGTAGATGTGGTACCATGGCCTGATCTGTGTGTTGGGTGTCGAGACCCAGGGCCTGGCAGAGGGCAGTGTGGAGGAGCTGTGCTCGGAAAGGAGATCTGGGTCCCAAGTCCTGGGATAACCTGGGAGGATGGGCTTTCCTGGAGATGCTGCTGCAGATGTCAGTCTGTTGGCCAGGTCCTTGGGTATGGAGCCAAGCATTTCCTGCCCCATCTCCTGGGGGACCTGGGGCATGTGTTCTGTCACAAGTGTGGACGCTGCCGCCCACGTGATGCCCTTGTGTTCTGGCTTCATTGGTCCCTATACAGCACACTATGCATTCACTCCCGTCACTGGTCTAGGCAATGATATCTACGGTCACAGGTGAGTGATGGGAGCATGAGCTGGGGTACAGCGCTGCAGAAGAGATGGCTCGGCACATGTGAGGCCCCGGGTTCCAGCTCCAGTGCCTAGGAACAGAGATGTGCGGTTTATAGTAAAACCAGAGGAGTGACTGAGCACACCAGCCAGCTGAAGGCAGGAAGTACCGGCGACTGGCTGGAAGCCCTCACACTCCAGGCCCACCCTCTGCCCCTGCTGTTCAAGGCCTGCACATGCCCATCCTGATGTTTCTGCCTCTGGGCAGGCACCTCCTATGTATGGAACCTATTCTCACTGCCCTGGTATCCAGATGACTCCATCCCTGAAGCTTCGGTTGTGCTGTGACATGGTGGGCATGGTGCCATGCATGTCCTCTGGGGCCACTGCGGGCATAGTTGGCCTTCTACAGGTGAACACAGTGTGGGTGGAGGCACCTGACAGCTTGGTGGCACCCCAGGCCTTGGCACCCCCAGCCCATGCTGGCCTATCCACGCCTCCTCCTCTGTCCCCAGCCTCTTCTAGATAAGCAGGGAACCCCTTCCCCAGCCCACAAACACAGCTCCAGCTGGGCAAGAGTTAGGACCATGATCAGAGGAGAAAGCCAAGTCCAGAGAGGTCGGTGCCACTATGAAGAGAATAGCCTGAGTGTGGTTGGACTTCGCTGTCTCCTCTTCCACATGCTCTTTGTCCTGAATCGTTTGGGATCACCTCAGACATTATGATATTTTACCGATAAATACTTCTGCATGTTATGTGGGGTTTTTTGTTGTTGTTGATGTTGTTTTGGTACTGGGGATTGAACTCAGGACCTTGCATTTGCAAGACAGGCATGGTGCCACTGAGCTAAATCCCTACCTGCATGTTATTTTGTAAGAACAGTTACTCTTCTGTGTTAGCTGTGCAATACAGTTATCACACATGGGAAATTTAACATTATCAGAGTCGTCTTTTTTTTTCTTTTGTGGTGCTGGGAATGGGACCCAGGGCCTCGCACATGCTGGCCAGGCACTCACACCTGCACCCCAGCCCACAATGCTGGTGTTTAATGCTCCCTTCACATTCAGATCTCCCCAGCTGTTCTGATGTATTTTCTTTGTACCAGGGATTGAGACCTTTCACTTGCAAGGCACGCAGTGGCACCACTGAGCTAAACCCCCAGCCCCCAGTGTATTCTTTCTGGGTCACTCCTTGGTCCCCAGATCTAATCAAGGATTATGTTGTGCATGTAGTTATCATTTTTCTGAGTGGACGCTAGCTTCAGCCAAAGCCCTCTCTCTGCCCACCCTTGGGAATCAAACCCAAGGCCTTGTGCTGCCAGGCAAATGCTGAGCACTGAGCTGCATTCCAGCCCATCTCGCTGCACTCAGGGTGGTGGGGCCAGGCCTTCCCATGTCACATGGTGCTGACCTGACTCCCTTGCCCTCTCCCTCCTACTTTTGAGGACTTTAGAGGTGAATGGAGCCTCTCAAGTAGACCCAGCATCCTCTGCTGCGTAATGGAACATCACAGGTTCTGAGGGCAGGACGTGAACTCCTTCAGAGGCAATGTCCCCACTGGCTCCACCAGAGTCAGGATCGGGCTTCAGTTCTCTGGATGGTTCTAAAATCTTCTCCTTTGTTGGCATTTTTTTCCCCTTTGGTGTGTATTTTACATTCTTTTTAGTTTTTTGTTATTGTTATATACATATGCAGTTGGAAGCATTTTCAGTAATTAAACACATTTGTGTTTGCAACAGATGGAACAAGAAACACCTCGCGAAAGCTGTCACTTGTGGGCAGCCACCAGTCTGACCTCTGACAGCAGAGACTGATTTTGCTTGATCCTGTACTTTATATAAAGGAAACGTGATGCATGCACGTCTGCCTGTCTAGGTGTGATTCTGATTTGATAGAATTCCCAGGATTTTTTTTTTTTATGATACTAGGAATTGAACTCAGGGCCTTAAACATGCTAGGCAGGTGCTCTACCACTGATACTACTTCCCCAGCCCTTTTTCAGTTTTATTTTGATCCAGCCATGATGGCGCGTGCCTGTATTCCCAGCACTCAGGAGACTGAGGCAGGAGGACTGCTGAAAATTTGAGGCTAGGCTGAGCTACATAGTGAGTCCAAGATCAGCCTGAATTGGGGGCTTTAGCTCTGTGGTACCACTGCCTGCTTCACAAGCACAAGGTTCCAAGTTCAATCCCTAATACCCTCCCTCCCCCCAAAAAAAAAACCATCAGCCTGAACTACATGGCAAGACCCTTCTCAAAAAAGATTTTTTTTTTGAGACATCGTCTGCCAGAGTTGCCTAGTTCAGCCTTAAACTTTCATTCTCTTGCCTCAGCCCCCTGAATAATTAAGACTACAGGTGTGTGGCACCATTCCTGATTCCAGAATCCAGAGCAGGTGGGCAAAAAGCAGGTGTCCCTGGTGCAACCTCTCTGCCTTGCCGGTGATGCACTGATGTAGGGTCTGGCACAGGGTCACCTGGCTTTGTGTGGCTTCCTGCTCAGTTTCCAGGCCTTTGTTTTCTTTGAGCCTTGGAGGGTTCCATTGCTTTCTGTGAGGGCAGTGGCTCACTGTGCACTTAGCCCTGCGTAGGCTCTGGGTGCTGAGTGTAGAGCTGGAGAGGAACCTGCAGCCCTCTGGACTCCAGGAAGCCACCCAGCAATAGTTCAAAACCCAGGTCTCCTGTGAAAAGTTTCCTCCCCCTGCTTGAAACTGCTTTTAAAATTGCACTGACTTCTATTTCTTTCTTTCTTTCTTTCTTTCTTTTTTACTTAAGAGTTAAGGTCATATGAAAGAAATATTTATGCTTAATATAAGCACAGTACATAAAATGAATTTGAAGAAATAGTGTAGCTTTGAATTGTTTTAGGTTAAAAAACTGAGAAGATAAAGCCAGATAGAGACCATGGGTGGGAGGTGTAAATGTCAGCCAGGCCAATTTACCTTAAGAATAAATGCTCTGCAACCACGTATGGGACTCAGGCTGCCTCGCTAGTGATCTGTGCCGGTGAACAGTGACAGTGTCACCTCCACAGATTGGAACTGTCAGAAGGCAGAGCAGCTGGCGAGTGGGTCACATGCTAGCTGCTCACTCCTGCTTCTGCCCTTGTGAGGACCACCCTGTGTCTGTTGTTGACGTAGTCCCTTCCTCCGTTTCTTCTCTCTGGGCTGACCATGGATGAGGGATGGGTGCTCGTGCACACTGGGCCTCTGGCTCGTATTCTCCTGGCTCTGTGGGCAGGAAATGGATGTCCTGAGCTGTCCTGAGCACTCACTCAGTGTCAGCTGCATGGTCACAAGATTCAGGGGCTGGTTGGCTGTGGACAGTGACGAAGCCGGGTGCTAAACCATGGTAAGCCACCGCCAGCATGCAGTGTAGAGGCTGTGAGAGCCGTGCTTCCTGTGGAGAGGCCAGAGTAAAGTGCGTCACCACAGGAGAGGAAGGCAGGGTCCCATGCCTCCTCTGGGGAGTGGAATGGTCGTGGTGCCCAGAGCCTCCAGCAGCAGAGCCAGGCTGAGCCTCACCAGGCTTTTCACAATTTTGTAGGGTGGTACTCCAGAGGCTTTCTGAAGAAAATGGTTTGTTGAAAAATGACCTGGAGAGGATTCAGCAGAAACTTGGAGCTGCAGAGCACATGAGTGACTTGCAGAGGTAAGGCCCATCTCCTCAGGCCACGTGGATCTTCAGGGCAGTGACATGCAGCGAAAGGCAGATCTGTCCAGTCCAGAGGCCTGGGTGATAGGCATGCTGATATCTGAGCAGACCAACAGGCATAGCCGGGCCTCCTCCCCCGGTGGGTGGCCACTTCACTCCTGTGCACGTTGGTCTTAGAGGTGGGGCCGAACATGTACACAGGGTCACAGGCAGACGCAGCGTAGACGGCTCCAGACCCAGCCTTACAGAGGGCCCCAGCCACAGCATGGGGCGGGCAGTGTTTTGCTGGGGCTGGGTTACTAGCAAGCAGTCTGCTTGTTTACATCCTGATATTCCAGTTGAGCTATTCTCCAGGATCATGGCCAGTGTAGATAATGTCAGTGAGGCAGAGCTGAGGCAAATTCTGGGCAGAGAGGGGCTGGGGCCGCAGTGTGGTGGAGCAGGCAGGGATCTGCACCATGGAAGGGAAGTGGGTTAAGGATGGCTTTCTGCCATCACTGCTACAACCGTCTCCTTTTTAAGCTGCCAATTTCAAGATGATCTCAGCTCTGAAATGCTGAAGATGTGGCTCTGATTGGATAGGATTGCAGTGGTGTCTATAGAGTCAGCCAGTTGCTGTTACACTGTAGCAACTCCTCCATCCAACTTCCGCAGTGCCCTGCCAGGCCCCTGTGGAGCCATCCACCTCAGCAGATGTAAGGCTGCATGATCTTCATGCTGCTGCTGGGAATTGTTGCCTACTTTATTTTTTATTTTTTAAAGTGCGGTGGTGGTGGGGTTAGCTCAGCAGCATGCAAGCACAAGGCAGAGTTTGATCTCTGGTTACGAAAAAAAGTCTGTAACTGTGTGACTAAAGAATGTCACAGAGGGGTTTGTCCTTATAGTACTGTCAATGTAGTACTTCTTTACAAATCAGTTTTACAGTCCTAGATTTCCAGTTTGGGGTCGGAGTGCTCCCCAAATAATAACAAGTATGCACAGTAGCATGTGTCTTTCTTGAAGTTTTCATTATTTTAAAAATTGGATTTACTTTTCAACTGATACAATGGCCAGATGCTCCCACTCCTCACTGTGAGCAGTGACAGTGATGGCAGGTACCCAGGACGGCAGTGCCCAGGCTGTTTGTGGCTGCAGATCCAAGCCACTGTGGCCCAGTGAGTAGCAGCCAAGAAGAAAGATGCTGAGTCTCCCCAGTGACGCTGTTGATTGTGCTTCTTCAATAGGCAGGAGATTGAGGCTCTGAAGAGAGACAAGGAGAAGGTCTGCTTTGAAATGGACGAGCTCAGCATCCAGGTCAGGTATCGACCCTGGCGTGACCCAACACCACTGTCCCCACTACGATGCCATAGTTTCACACATACAAAAAAGGGAGTAGTGAACTTTTCCTTAAAAGATTTGAGAATGTGTTGCCACCTCCAGCTCCCCTCATAAATGGGAAGGCCTTCTGCTGGCGTCTACATCGTTGGATTACATGTGGCTGTGTCGCCCTTGGTCTGCCCTTGGTTCTTCAGTGCCTCACGGTTTGCAAGGCTCCTAGTGGCTGCTGAGTGGGACAGCCCTCCATTTGGGCTTGCCTGGTGTTCCTTGTGACTCGGCTGGAACAACTCAGAAGTTAAGAGTGTGCCCTGTCTCATCCTCTAGGGGACAGAGTAGGCTGCCCCTTTGCTGGTGGTAGCTGCAATGCCTGCCTGGGTGAGGGGAAATGGAATGAGCCTCCCCATAGCAGGTTGTTTCCCTCTTTGTAATATGGGGAGGGGCTCATACTGTCAGTGTCCTGTTATTCAAACCCTCCCCTGTGAATTACCGCATCCTTGGGTCTCTTGGTGCAGTCGTCGTGATTATGATGGCAGCCAGTTGGTCACTTTTGCTAGTTTGCATTCTCCTGTGAGGAGGGGCTTTCTTCTTACCATTTGTTCATTTATCCCACTTTATTACTATTTGGTGTCATAATCCACTACCAGCTGTAGTCACAGCGATGCTCCAACGTGGGAGTCCCACCGCAGTGGCTTCTGTGCCCTCTGCAAGGTCCTAAGCATTCTCCTAGCCCCTCCTTCCTTTCTGGTGGCCCCAGGACGTCCGGCTTCCTTTGCTATTCCCTGGCCCCGGCCCTGGAGTCACCATTTGTCCAGAGAGCAGTGGTTGTGCCCCTTGTCCCGGGCTGTGCTATTTCCAGGAGTGCTCAGTGGATGCAGCTGCAGGATGTGTTCACATGCATGTGAAGCCTGTTTATGCATCTTGCCACACAAAATCCATGAGCCACTGGGATGATCCTAGCTATCTCTGACTCATTTCTCCCACTGTGAGCATCTGGTTTCCATCACCCTCAGCCTTTTCACTTGCTGTCTGACCCGTGTCCTAACCTATATGTGAAGGCCCTTCACGGTTTTGCCTCTGCTGAGGCAGTTGCCTTTGTGCTGGGCCTCTTTGTCATTAAGTCATGAGAATGTGCTAGGCTGTGCCATCTTTGGTGTTCATTCAATTCTTAAATTTATTTTTTAACTAGAACGTACAAATTATACATATTTTTGAGATGCCATGTGATTTTTTTTTTTTTTAAATTGGGGCTTGAACCTGGGACCTTCACACGCTAGGTAAGTGGTCTGCCAGTGAGATACATCCCCAGCCTTTAATTTTCTTTTCTTCTTCTTTTTCTTTCTTTCTTTTTTTTTTTTTTTTTGAGACAGGGTCTTGCTGTTTAGACCAGGCTGGCCTTGAACTCACAGCAATCTCTTGCTTTAGCCTCCCAAGTGCTGGGATAACAGGCGTGTGCCACCACATCTAGCTTTCCTTTTTTATTTCTGACACACATCTCACTGAATTCCCTAGGCTGACCTTGAACTAGGAATCCCCATGACTTGGCCTCCTGAGTGACTGGGATTTTAACATGTGATTTTTTTGATACAGGTATACATTGCATGTTTAAATCCAGTTAAACATATCTAATTCCTGAAAAATATTGATCATTTATTCATGGTAAAAACATTAAAAAATTTTTTCTTCTAGTTTATTTTTTTTTGGTACTGCGGATTGAACTCCGGTCCTTGTGCTTGCAAGGCAGGCCACCGAACCGCTGAGCTAAATCCCCGGCCCTTTTCTTCTTGTTTTTAAATGTGCAGTATATCATAATTATCCATGATCTGCTGTATGGTTATAAACCAGAACTTTTTACTCCACTTTTCTTTTGGTACAGGGGATTGAACTTGGGTCCTTGCACTTGTGATACAGGCAGCAGAACCACTGAGCTAAATACCCAGCCCTCCATTCTTCTTTTTAATTAAAATTTTTGAATTGACAATTGCAGACTTATGTGTAGCATTAAGAAATGTGAAGAAAAGCCGGGCATGGTGGCGCACACCTATAATCCCGGCACTCAGGAGGCTGAGGCAGGAGGATCGCTGTGAGTTCGAAACCAGCCTGGGCTACATTATGAGTTTGAGGTCAGTCTCAACTACATAGTGAGACCCTGTCTCAAAACAAAACAAAACAAAACAAAAAAATGTGAAGAAATCCTTCACACAATTGGTTTAGTTTCCCTCAGTGGTAACATTTTGTGAAGCTATAGTATAACACTCCCTCAGGCACCCAGGACTGCCTTGGCCAAGCACACAGGCCTGTGGCTTAGCACTGCAGGCTGGAGGTGTAGGATGGGGTGTCGCAGGACTGCTTCTTGAGTCCTCTCTTCGTCTTCTTGCTGTGTGCTCCTGGGGTTGTCACTCTGTCTGTCTGTATCCCAGCTTTCTCCTCTTTCAAAGACACCAGTCACGTTGGTTTAGGGTCCTCCTCATATGACCTCATTTTAACTCAGTCACTCTTTAAAGACCCTGTCTCGCAGTGCAGTCACATGCTGAAGTGCTTGTGGTTAGGATTTCAACATGTGAATCTCAGGGAGGACACAACTCAAACATCGCAGCCGTAATACTGACACTGACAGCACAGTACACGAGTCCTGTTTAGAATTCCCCAGTTTCGCCTGTGCAGTCATTTGTGTGTGAGGTTCTATACAGTACCATCATTTGTATGGATTCCTGTATCTACCACAGTCACGCTGAATATTCTCAACACTGCAGGGTCCCTGGAGTCCCCTCCATGACCACACCATCCTCTCCCTGCCCATCCAACGCCCAACAACCACTCCTCCGTCCTCCATTTCTAAAACTTGTTTCAAATGTTCTACAAATTAATTTTTATAGAACATAGCCTTTGCACATCCTGATTCCCTGGAGAGTCTTGAAGTTTAAGTGTGTTGGTAGTTTCTCTCTCCTGCTGAGGGATATCTGTGGTGGGATGTGCAGATTTATGTAACATTCACCTTTTTTTTTTTAAGAGCACAAAATTGTTTATTAACCATTAATTTTAATACACAGATTAACCAGGAGTCAAAAATAGCATGCTAATATATTCTACTAGCATCCTCCTTTTTTAAACATTCACCTTTTGAAGGACATCTGGGCTGAGTTCAGGTTTCAGCTGTTACAGATAAAACCTTCTGTGAACATTATCACGTTAGTTTTTATGTGAACATAAGTTCTTATATCTCCAGGATAAATGCCCAAGATAGTCATGACCACGTTACATGGCAGTATGTGCTTAGTTTTACAAGGAGCCCAACCTGTTTCTTACAGTGGCTGGAAGTGTTTACATTCCCGCCAGCAGTTCTCCACCTCTCACCAGCACTAACGCTCTACTTTTTTACTGCTGTCCTTCCCACAGGCCTGTGCTGAAACAGGCGGGCAGAGGGGCTGGAGCTGAGTACAGTGGTGCCTCACTTCTGGAACTTAATTTGTCGTACAGTTCTGGGGAAGATGGCCACATTTGTGTTTGTCTGGGGAAAATGGTCATGGTTGTATTCCGTCACCGGACATGGAGCTCATGAACAGAAGCAGAATTTTGCTAAATGCTTCTGTTTGTAAACCAAACTGTTTGCAAAAAGAAGCATCCATGAACTGAGGTATTACTGTGTTTTCACACATCGTGATTCCCCAAAAGCTCTGGTGGGCTTCTTTGTCTTCTTTGAGGACAGGAAGAGAACAGACAATTCTGAGTGCAGTAACAAAGCCACACACACCAAGACAGACACTCTGTGGTTGGGGGCCAGAAGTGCTGACAGTTGGGCTGTAGTGGGCCTTCTGCCTGCCTGGCTTCTGCCTTCTCACTGTTCTCTCATAGCCTTGAGAGAGAGCTCTTCCTCTTCTCCAAGTTACCTGCAGTTACAGACCAGAAGTTTTTACTCCATCATTCTTTTCCCTTAAAATTGTACTGTCATAGGGCACCAATACTACTGGAGTAAAACTGCTCTCCTATGATCTCACTTAACCTGATTAGCTCCTAAAAGCCTCACCTCCAAATATAAACCCTTGGGGTCAGGGCTTCCGTGTGTGGAGTTAGCAGGCGCACATTTCCGGCCCTAGCAGTCACTTTTACCTGAGGAGGCCTGAGGGACCTTTGCTCTACTCTGACCAACGAAGAACTGAAGAGGCCAGGGACAGGGCCCCAGTGCTCCTGCTGAGTCCTGGAGTGATGAGAGTTTCCCATGGTCCCGTGTCCAGTCACGTTTCAGAGGATGACATTGGATGGCAGATGCTGTTAGGGACATCTATGGAAATACGGTTCACTGTGGCAGCTCCTGACCCAGAACTCCTGTTTTCCCTGTGTCACTGGCTTTTGGAAGGGACGAGGCAGTGTCTCATAGACCATTGCCTTCTGGATCTGTCCTGGGTCATCTGTTTGTCTTGTGACCCAGAAATTAGGCCTAGAGGCCTAGTCCGATCCAGAGGAATCCTCTTTGACACAAACACCCATTTGTTTAGCACCTGCCCAGGAGTTGGCTGCTGGCATCTTCTCTTGGCTTCTGTTAGAGAAGTTGGCTGAACCCAAGTTAGAAATTGAAGTGAGCACCATGGATATCTGTCAGCTGAAGTGGTGGCATCTGTTCCTCTGATGCAGGACCTCAGAGAAATCACAGCATCATCTGTGTGGTGTTCAGCTAAGGCAAATCACCTGAATCACCATGAAGTGTTAGACACACAGAGCTGTTAATGGAGGGGAGGGGCTGTGTTTGTCCAAAAGTCAGTCACAAAGACAACATGGCAGAGGCACCATCCGACCTCAGGAGGGAAGAGTGCTGGGAAAAATGTCACTGGGCCATGGGCACAACCAGAGAGCATGTGGCCCTTGAGATCATTGTCCTGAAGTAAAGTTTCTAGAGAGAGCACAGCTGTTGCCAGGAGTCACACACAGGCCTGGCTGTCAGGGAACACTGTGCATGTGTGTGGCATGCATGTGTGTGGCATGCATGTGTACACATATCTGTGGTGTTCAGAGTGTGCACATGTGTGCTGTGCATATCATGTGTGGGGTGGGGTGTGTGCATATGCAGAGAGCACAGATGCCAGTGCAGATGGGAAAGCGGTTATCAAGTGAATGCATTGTCCTTGCCAGTGTTCTGTATGTTTGAAACTATTTCCAAACAGACTTTAAGTATTCAAGTTGAATAAGAGATCAGCTAGTTTATTTATAACAGGTGTCCAAGAAAGGTTTCATTTGTATTAATCAGACATGTCCTCCGAGAACAGAATGAACATGAACCAGTGAAAATCAACATTAATTTTAACCAAAAACTGTGATAAACATGAGACCTATCTTACCAGACAGAATTGCCAAGGCTTCTAATGTACAGACCCCTGAGGTTCTGGGGAAGGGAATGACTGAGATTCTCAGAGAACTTGCCAACCTCAGACAAACCCAAACTGAAGCAACTTTGGGATCCTCTAAGTGTTTATTAAACCCCCATAACCAGAACAGTGTTTGTCTCATTCTTGGAATGTGCACAGCCCATAGTGCTGAGCTTCAGCAGCCAAAGCCCTCAGTGCTGCAGGCACTGTCATCCTGACCACTGGGAAAAAGCAAGGAAGCAGAAATGTGGTTTGTGTGAAAACAGCCACGACAAGAAATGGAGGGTGCTGGGATTTCCGTGGTGTGATGCTTACGGCTAACTTCCTAGCTGCTGCTTCTGTGCCTGGTCTGCCCTCATTCACCCTGGGCATTTGCCGACAACCTTCTATCGTCTGGCTGGCAGTGGCTGTGAGAAAAAGTAAAGTATCCCATTCAGTGGACACACGCTGCCTGCCAAAAGCTCTTGTATGTCTAGTGACAAAAGAGCAGGGGAGACTTTGAAGAGATTGTCATACTTCAGGTTGAATTCAGTTGTTTTTAAACTTTAAATTGCTTAAAATATCTTAGAAATAACCTCGGGGGAAATGGGACAGATGCAAATGGTCTTCACCACAGTAGACTATGGTTGTGGCTCTGATGGCTAAGGCCTGTTTCTCCTGAACAACACCAGGACTCTGGTCCCTGGCATTCCTGATGTCTGGGCTGTCAGGTCTGTGCTGCAGGGTGTCAGGCACCCCACCTCTCATCTTCCTCCAACATCTTCCTCTTCTCCGAGGTATGACAAACCCAGACCCTGCCAAGTGCTTCCAGGAAGCAAAGCTGTCCTTGCTTGGGAACAACTGCATTGATCTGAATGGAGCTGCCGGTTTAAAAGCTTTTTCTCAATCTCTTTTAACTTTTTTTTTCCCTGTAGAACCAGAAATACAAGAATGAAGTGTCACAGCTCAACTGCAGGGTCCTTCAGATGGAAGGGGTCGCTTCCACCCATCAAGCCCAGAATGAGGAGAACCTCGCAGCTGCTCGACTATTAACACAGAAGCTGGAGGAAGTGGGGCGCCGTGAGGAACAGCAGGTGAGAGCAGCACAAGTCGTGGGTACAGACAAGTGAGGCCCAGCCCCCATGGCCACAAGGTGGGCACTCCAGCAGGCGGAGAGGGGCTTCCCAAGTGAGCGGGCTCCCCAAGTGAGCGGGCTCAAGCAGTCAGCAAATCCCAGGACCTAGAGAAAGTAGCCACTGCCTCCACAACCCAGATGTGCCAGGGAGTGGAGTGGTGCCAAAAGACCCGATGAACTACCTATGATGAGACAGGGTTTATAAAGACCTATTTCATTTATGAAGACCCTCTTCTCAGTGGGTCTTTGATTATAATATACTAAGAAAGGCGCTGATTTAGCAGACCAGTTGTCATCATATTACAGTTCCTTGAGGAAAACATTAAAATGGTATTTTAAAATTGTAATTTGTGCCGGGGATTTAGCTCAGTGGTTCGGTGGCCTGCCTTGCAAGTGCAAGGACCCGAGCAATCCCCGGTGAGACAGGGTTTATAAAGACCTATTTCATTTATGAAGACCCTCTTCTCAGTGGGTCTTTGATTATAATATACTAAGAAAGGCGCTGATTTAGCAGACCAGTTGTCATCATATTACAGTTCCTTGAGGAAAACATTAAAATGGTATTTTAAAATTGTAATTTGTGCCGGGGATTTAGCTCAGTGGTTCGGTGGCCTGCCTTGCAAGTGCAAGGACCCGAGTTCAATCCCCGGTACCAAAATAAATAAATAAATAAATAAATTGTAATTTGTGGTATAGCAGTTGTAAACACATTATTATATACACCAGCAATGGGGTACTTGTAAGATTTCCATTTTAAAATTTAGAGAATTAATTATTGATTAACCCATAAAGAAATGCCATGGGCATTTGAATTTAATAAAACAAATAAATTTGATTATTATGATTTTAATTGGTATGTATAGTATTAATATTTATATTACCGATAAAAGTGATTAGACCCCTTTGTATCACCACTGGTACAAGCCACCCAATGAGATAGTCATGCATGTACTACTGGTGGCTCTAGCTGGCTGGAATGATCAAATTCAAATCAGAGCCTCCCGGAAGCAAAACATGAATTACACCCTATCATAAACATGTTAATGAGTGCAAGTGGGAAAGAAAAGGATAGACTGAAACTTAGTAACAGATAAGGAGGGATTCCAGTGACCACAGGCTAGACAAGAACTTGTCCCCAAGGATGGGCTGCTGGGCCGGACAGGCCTGGTCACAATCAGGAGGGGTCTTTTTTTCGTACCAGGGATCGAACTTGGGACCTTGCACTTGCAAGACAAGCAGTGGAACCACTGAGCTAAATTCCCCATCTGGAGGGGGTTTTGCAGAGTAGACTACAGAGCAGTGACATCCTCAGCTGGTTTTGTCCCCCTGATGAACAGCTGATTAGCCTAAGGTCAGGGGACGGCTCCTACAGAGAGCACTAGTTTGCTCAGTTCTCAGGGTGCTCAGATTATACTCATCTGAACAGTCTAGTCCAGGCATGCCTAGAGTGTCCCCCAGACTGGGCAAGTCTTGGGAGTGTGAAGGGGCATCTCAGGAACCTGGTGTGAAGATGCCCCGGTTATTCTCAGCAGCAATGCAATTACAAAGGGGAGTTAAATGCTGTTGCTAGGACAGTGAACTGGTGTGAGGACAGCTCACTCTAATATGTGTCAAGAGCCTCAAGAATGTTCACGTGATGGACATTCAGGACCCTCCTCATGGGAACTGTAACTAAAAGCATCATGGTAAGACTTAACTGGAAGTATTTTCCTCACTGTGCTATTTGCAATAGTAAAGCAGACCTGAATCAGTTAGAATTGTGAGCATAGATGATGGGTAATTATGGTACAGCTGCTGAAGACCCAGTTCTCCAATAACATCTGATGTCCTGGGGTTGCAGTGACAGTAAAGAGCGGACCAGGACCCCATGTGTCCTGGGAAATGCAAGAAGGAATTACAACAGGATGTTGGGTGGATTCGGGCACCATGGGATACATTTTGCCATGTTTAACTTCTGTAATATTCTGGAGTTTCTGCATTAAGTATATAGTAGGCTATTTCTGGTACTGTACTTGTGAAATGAATGTTTTATAATAGTGTGCCCAGATCCAGAAGCTTGAAGTTGAACTTGAGCATATGAATCAGCAATGTCAGAGCCTGAAACTAGCACGATCAGAGCTGACAGAGAACCATGAGGAAGGCCAGGACCAGGTGGGTATGCATGGCAGCTGGTGGTACTCGGCCCAGTCCTGGCCTGAGAGATGACAGGGCCAGGCCTGGTTCAGCCAGGTGGGCTGTGGGCTGTGGGGGCACAGTGGGGCAGGCGTGCTCTCTTTCCCTGGATTGTGTGGTCTTACTGTACCTGCCTCAGAACAGTCTCTGATGGGACCATGACTCCCCTCTCCTGTCGCTGGGATCTTAGGAGAATCAGGGTGAAGTCACCAGGTCCTGTACTGCATCAAGGAAACTGTTCTGGATAAAGCCTCCAGGGTCAGACTGATGTAAGCTGGCTTTAGATCTGGCCTCCGGTTGCTCAGTAGAAGGCACTGGCTGAGTGATGTGGGTGGATAAGGCTCATTGTTGCAGCAGACCCTGTGCTCCCACGGCCCCTGGCCCTGCAGGTTTTCTGTGTGGTCACACTGTGCCCTGACCAGGGCTGGAAGAAGCCTGGTGTGTGTCTGGCATGAGTGACACCACTTTGTACAGATAGAAGGTTGTTCGAGATTACTCTCAGATTTTGTTTTGGCCAATTTCCATTTTGATGTAAATAAGCTCTATGGTGGTTCCTTCTGAAACATGAGTGGGTGTGGAACCTTCTTCTATAGCAGAAGCAGGAGCAGCTGAATACCAGGGCAAGGCCAGCAGTAGAGGTGGAGCAACTCCTGTGGGAGAAGCTAGATCAGGTGAGTGGCAGTTCTAACCCTCTGAGTCCCCTCCCCGCAAGCTCCAAGGCTCTTCACAGAGTTCAGTATACCCTGTTCCCACGTGGGACTGCCACATCAGGGGTCTAAACTTCAACCAGAGAGTGCGCAAATTGTCTTCTGATTAATAACTGGAACGAATCTGCAGAAGACCGATTTTACCAAGTACTACCCTTTACTGCGTCATGAATCATGTTTCTTTGGGGAACTGTTTCAGGGCCTTTGAGGAAAGCACATCTTGTACATATCAGGCAAGCAGTCTACCACTGAGCTACACTCCCAGCACCCTGTCCCCTTTTAAGCATTTTTTGAGACCGGATCTTGCTAAGTCACTGTGTTGCCTAGGCTGAGCTTAAATTTGCAATCCTCCTGCCCTAGCCTTCAGGAGTGCTGGGATTACAGGTGTATGCCACCACACCCTGCTTGCCAGTGTACTTAGTGTCTGTGTCAGATCTCTAAGAACCTGAATTATGGCTGGGACACATGTGTCGTGCGTGTGGGGGGGTGGGCAGGCTGGTTGGCTGGTCACACGGTGCTTCCACAGGGAATTCACTGTAAACATGGCTCTTCTCTAGTTGGAGAAGAGCACCAGATCCGGCCTGCTGCTCAAGGAGCTCTATGTGGAAAATGCTCACCTCACAAAGGCTCTTCAGGTTGCTGAGCAGAAGCAGTGGGGTGCTGAGAAGCAAAACCGCATCTTGGAGGAGAAAGTTCGAGCTCTCAACATGCTGATCAGCAAGCTTGCACCTGCAGCTCTCTCTGTGTAGGCTGCTTGCCTTCCTAGAATTCACCCTAGGGAACATCTTTTGACATGATACAGGAATGCAGTGAATGTCCGCTGCAGGGTAATGCGCACAGGGTAGCAGGCCGCGCCCTTGTCAGTGGTCCTGGAAAACTCCCCACCGTCTGCTCCCAGTTTTGCCACTCACTGAGCTCAGGGACTCAGCAAAGAATGACAAAGAAACAGGTGAAATGCTTAGTGCTGTGCTTTTGTCTGGAAAACAGTGCAGAATCAGGACTCTGTGTGCTCTTCCCATTTCATTGCAGCAACACTCAGATCACAGAGGCGCTGGACGGTGAGTCCCTGTGCTCCACTGACTCCCTGTGCTGTGCACAGACATCCTGGACTCAGGAGGGACAAATGCCCCTTTAGGGCCTCGGTGGTATCTGGGCAGGGCTGGTCTAACTAAGGTCTGTAGACTCAGGATGATGGTGTGTTGCAAATACAATCATTTCCTCACTGAAACGTCATCACACTGGAGATTACACATGTTGAAAAACTATAGTTTTATATCTGAAACATACATACATTATGGCCATTTGGTTTAGCAGAATGTACTACTGTAATGTGAAATCACTGTATTTTTGCCATAAATTCTTTTCTATTAAAACTGACTTAATTTCTTTATTATAAAATATCACTTGGGCACGATGGCACATACCTGTAATTCTAGCATTCAGGAGACTGAGTCAGGAGACTGAGTCAGGAGTATCACTGTGAATTTGAGGCCAGTCTGGGCTACAAAGTGAAACCCTGTTTTAAAACAAAATTGTAAAATATTTCAAGCATATAGAAGAAGTTTTGTTTGTTTCACAGTACTGGGGATTGAACCCAAGGAGCCCTAAGCTACATCCCCAACTCTTTCATTTTTTAATTTTGAGACAGTTTTGCTGTCTTCAAACTTGTGATCCTCCTGTGCCACCTGGGATTACAGGTGAGCACCACCACTCGTAATAGAAAAACAGTTTTGTGAGAAGCACGCATGTGCCCATATACTGGATATGTCTGAAATAACTTTCTGCTCTAACCTCCTACACAGAAGCAGGGTGCCTGTCCTGATGCCCTTGACTGCCTTCCTCATCTCGGGGCAGCCTATGCTGAAGCTGTAGTGCCTCTTCCCATCTGCTGGTGCTGACTGTGTATACTGGCAGGAAAGAAAAATCCCAAAGCTTAGAAGTCAGAAAGTTCTGGGGCAGAGTCTTAACAACATATAGCTGAACAGTTCTTCTGAGTTCACTGTTAAATGCAGAATATTCCCAATAAAAAGACAAACAGGTATTGCCTGCTTCACCAGCCCCTGGCCCTAAAAGTGGACACAAGAATGCTAAAGTCCATAGGTACAACCAGATACACAAAGAAGACAATGAAGAAAACTCTGACAGTGCTGGGGGTTTGGCTCAGTGTTTCTGCTGCTTGCCTCATAAGCACAAGGGCCCAAGTTCAATCCCTGGTACCAAAAAAAAAAAAAAAAAAAAAAAAAAAGGCCAACCCCGGGGTAAAAAAAAAAAAAAAAAAAAAAAGAAGAAAGGCCAGACCTCGTGGTACACACCTTTAATCTCAGCTACTTAGTTGGCTGAGGCAAGAGGATCCTAAATTCAATGCCAATCTTAGTTAGACTCTGTCTCAAAAAATATTTCTGAAAAGTGCTGGGGATGTGGCTCAGTAGTAGACTGCTTGCCTAGCATGTATGAGCCGCAGTACTGAAAGAAGGGTCTGAAATAAGTGACCTTAGCTTCTCCCTTAAGTAACTGGAAAAAGAAGAGAGCAAAATTAAACCCAAAGGAAGAAGAAATGAAATAATGAAGATGAGCAGAAACTAGGAACAGAAGATCAGTGTCTCGGCAGTCTGCAGGCTGGGCCCAGCCTTGCAGTCTGCTTGGGTAGCGTGGCGCAGCCACACTTGTTCACTTACAGATGGCAGTGCCCTCTGGGGGGCCACAGCACAGCTCCGAGCAGCGGTAACAGAGAATCTGGGGCCTACCAAGTCCAAGCTCTGAAGAACCACACTGCTCAGACAGAAATTAATAAACCAAAGGCTGGTTCTTTCAGAGATTAACAAAATTGATGAATGTCTAGTCAAATGGGACAGAATAAAGGAAAAAAAGATTTACCAATCAGTGAAATAGGTAATTTCATTACAGACTTTACAGATATTAGTGTAACATACTAATGTGAACAATTTTATGCCAATAACTGATAACTTAGGTAAAATGGAGAAGACATAAATCACCAAAGCTTATTCAAGAAAAAATGGAAATCTGAACAGCCCTATATCTATTAAAGTAATTTAAATTGTGGTTAAATGTTTCATAGAGGGCTGGGGATTTAGCTCAGTGGTACCACTGCCTGCCTTGCAAGCCCAAGGTCCCAAGTTTGATCTCCAGTACCAAGAAAAAAAAAGTCTCATAGAGACTCCAGGTCCAGATGGTCTAAATGTGATTTCTATTAAACATTTAAAGAAGAAATTATACCAAACAAATTATTCCAAAACATTTCACACCTTATTCTATGAGGACATCAGGACTACCTTGGTCTTCACAGACATTAAAAGACCATTACAGACAATATTCTGTGACAAGAAAGTGGATGCAAAACTTTTAAACTAGGACTGGGGATTTAGCTCAGTGGTTCTGCTGCCTGCCTTGCAAGTGCAAGGATCTGAGTTCGATCCCCGGTACCAAAAAAAATTTTTTTAAACTATTTTCAAGTAAGATCCAACTGAAAAGAACACATCATGACTAAGTGGGATTTCTGGCAGGAATAAAGAATTGGCTTAACCTCAGAAAAATCAACTAATCAGCTACTGCATTTCACCATATTAGCAAAATAAAGGACAAAAACATCTTGTCAACTGCTGCCTGCCTCTCAAGCAAGCGCAAGGTCCTGAATTTGATCCCATGGTACCAAAAAAACCCACAAAACATCAACAGATGCAAGAATTGATATGATTTAGTCCAACATCCATTCCTGATTTTCTAAAAAATCCAGTAAACTAGAAAAAGAAGAGCCAGGTGTGGTGGCATAAACCTGTAATCCTAGCACTTGGGAGGGTGAGGCAGAAGGATCGCCACAAGTTCGAGGCCAGCCTGGGCTACATAGTGAGTTCAAGGCCAACCTAAACTACATAGCGAGACCCTGTCTCAAAAAAAAAAAAAATATAAAAAAAAAAAAAAAAAAAAAAAAAAAAAAAAAAAAAGCAGAAGGGAACTTTTTTACCCTGATAAAAGGTATCCTCAAAGCCTTAGCAAATATACCAGTGGTGAAAGACTGAATGCCTTCCTCCTGAGATCATACTTTTATCCAACAGTACTGATGACTCAATCTACTGAAATCAGGCAACAAAAAGAAGCATCCAGATAAGGGAGGAGTAAAACTCCTCAAAGAAGGCATGACTGTGAGTGTAGAAAATTTGATGCAATTTACAGAAAAGCTATGAGGAGTGAGTTTTACAAGGCTGTAGGATACATATTAAACATCAGCTGCATCTGTACTGATAAATTATTAGAATTTGAAATTTCAAAATACTATACGTCAAAACTATGAAATATAGACAAGACTTGTTAGACTTGTGCACTGAAAACTACAAAATGGAAGACAGAAACAAAGGTAAGATACACCTTGCTTTGGGGCCAGAAGAGTCGATACTGTTGAAATGTCTTTTCACCCTCCCCCCATACACAGATTCAGTGCAATGATAATCAAATGCCAGCAGGGGTTTTTGTTTATGTTTGGGAGAAATTCACAAACTGACCCTATATTTAATATGAAAAACAAAGGATTCAGCAGAGCAAAACAAATCTAAAGAGGATATATAGCTCAGCAAGAGAGTACACTTGAGTTTGTTCTGCAGTACTGCAAGAAAAAAATTTTTAACAAAGATACTAGGGCAGACACCAGTTGACACATGTATAACGATGTGGTTTTTTATACAGTGGAGTACTGCCATAAAGGCTAAGCTTGAGACATTTGCAGCTAAATGGATGCACCTTGAGACCAAACTCTTAAGTAAAATAAATCAAACACACATTTAAATACTATATTGTTTTTCTGGTGTGAGAAACTGAAAGTGGAAATAAAGACTAAAATGTACAATAGGCATTGGGAAATGGGAAGAAAATGTTTAAGTGGGAAGGGAAACAAGGGAAAGGGAGAGGTGGGGAAAGAAGAGACAAGAAAAAAAAATGGAAGGAAAAAAATAGAACAAGGCTTTAGGGAAGGACAAGAAGGGTTGGGGAGGGAGAAATGGGAAAAAAACAGAAGAAACAGGATGTGTCATGTGCAGGTACAAGTTCCCTCATGAATTTTA